ATAGTATGAAATTCCACGATTGGACGGTATCATGAACATGAGAAGTAAAGTATCATTTCTATGAGAACTATGCACTTAATTTTTAATCAATTAATTTTAATGTTAATCGAATAGTCAATTTTATGTGAATAACTTGTACTAATTTATTTAATGGAATTATTTATTCCATTGAGCAAATTATTAAAGCTTTAGCAAAATTATGTGAGATCATTACTAAGACTTCGAATCTTCCTTATTAATCCATTTTAATCAAATTCAATATGTTGATACTATGTATCCAATTTTATTGATCAGTGTGCCTTAAATATTCAGTAATCTCTTTCTAGTAGAATTAAACATATCATTTTATACGACCTTTCTATATCTCTACAAAAAATGCATACATGAAAGCATACATAAAAAAATTGGAACATCTATTGAAATCATACTGAGCAGAAATGTGGATATCTGTCCCCCTATAAGACCTCACAATATGTGTTATAGGTGATATCTATTCTACCGTGACTTCCAATAACAATAAAATTCAAAATTCAATCCAATTAATGATCTAGTAATTGAATCGAAATGCATTAAATATAATAATTGTCCAATAAATCATACATATTGGGTGTCAAAATATTGAAATTATATTAAAAATTTCATAACAAGGGTTCGTCTATATCTTAGAAAATTGAAATTTAACCCAACATTGCAAAATTAGAAGAAATCATAATTATTTTGTAGAATAGCACTCGAATCTTTGAAAGATGAAGGAAAAGAGGATGATTCTTGAGTTTTTGAATCTCTTTGATGTTTTCTTGATTGAATCCCGCTGACCGTCCTTCCTCACCCAAAACAAAAGTTGGATCGTTAATTGATAGAAATTTTGCAATAGCCTCTTAATTATCTCGAAGGAATAATGATTTTTGCCTCTCTGTGATTGTGATAATTGATGTTTAATATGGTATCAGAGATGTCATCCAGTGTGTGAGGTTGTTTTTTACTTAAAAGGGTCGAATTTTTGAAAAAAAGTCGCATCAAAGTGGTTACCAAGAAAAGTTTTGATCAAATAAGGAAACGGCTATCATCTCATGAAATTTAGCCTATGCGTGCACTACATATACTTCACTGCACTCGTCTAAGTCAGATTCTAAGATTGAATTTTGAAATAAAAGAGGTCGCGCGCGCTTGGTTTATGGTGGCGCACGCGCATGGTTCTGGTCAAAAGTGATTTTTAATACTAGAAAATGCCTCTATACTTGTTTGGATAATTTTTTGAAAGTAATTTTTTTTTTTTATTAAAAGAGATTTTAGAGGAATTTGGAAAAGTCTATATAAAAATGTAAAGTCAAATTAAGCGTATGTTTGGTACCGATTAAAATATGTGTTTTAATTTAAATTAAAGTCAACAATTCATTTCAACCACATATTTTGTGGGTCCCACAACTTTTAAACCACATATTTTATTAATTTCTATAAAAATATACTAAAAATACAATTTGAATCCTCATTAAACAAGGTCAGGTGGTAAAAGTTATCGCAAAACAAACCCTTAGAATGTGCTATTTCTCAAGAATGTGTATCATGGGTGTCACGTTAGGGATGTCAATTGGGCCGAACCGGCTCGGCTCATCAAAGCTCGGCTCGTGGGCTGCTTGGGCTCGTCAAATGACGAGCTCGAGCTCGGACCGAGCCCGCTCGTGAGTACACGAGCTCATGGGCCGAGCTGAGCTTGCCCACGAGCCCGAGCCGAGCTCGTGAGTTAACGAGTCAAGTCGGCTCGGCTCGACTCGACCCACTGACATCCCTATGTCACGTTGACAACAGTAAGCTACTTCAAACGACGTTCACAGAGCTCCAAAGTTTTAGCATAATTCGTAATTCTAATTGTTGAACGTCTAGACATTAATGCTTAATTATTAAGCGAGCAGCTTCCTAACGCATCGACTAGGTAGGATAAGCTTATAAAATATGACAAACAGATTGCATGTGCTTCAAGATCTGCGTATTCATATTTCAATTTTTCTTTGAGCAATGAAAGGAAGAAATAAATGTATTACTTTGTTTAAAATTTATTTATCCATAAATTATAAAGAGGAGTTAACTGATCGAACCAAATAATGATAGTATAGAGATTGACGATACAGTTATAATAAAAAGAGCGATGAAAATGATTCATAGATTTGTTTTTACAAACTTTCACTTGATAGTTTTCATTCATCTTTAACCAAAAACACAAAAAAGCACAACATTTGTAAGGTGTCTGTGAATCAATTCCCCTGTGCAAGGGAAATTGTTACACAATGCTTTATATAGAGAATATGAAAAATATTAATAGATATCGAAACAGTGTAATTTCTTGAATCATTAAATCATCATAGAAAGTGGAATAATTGATGTCAAACGAGATAATTACAATAAAAAGTGTAACGATGTGTCCTAAGCGATATATTTGTTGAATTGCAAAATTCATTAATATAAGATAAATATATTAAGAGGTCATTTGAAAAACCATTATCTTGTAAAGTCAATTACCCACAGAGTTCTAAAGCTAGTTAATAACTTAAGAGTCTTAGGGTGTGTTTGATTG